TTGGCCAAGGCTAAGGCATGGCTCACTGGGCAACGCTGTGGCATTGCATGCTGGCCAAGGTGGCCACAAGGTCAGCGGGCCGAGGCCGTGGCATGGCGTGCCCGCCTTGGCATGCTTGGCAACACCGTAGCAAGGCATGCCGGGCGAGGCCGTGGCATGGCATGCCCGCCTTGGCATGCTGGGCAACGCTGTGGCTTGCCATGCCGGCCACGGCCGTGGCATGGCATGCAGGGTAATGCTATGGCATGGCAGGCTGCCCAAGGCAGTGGCCTGGCATGCGGGCCGAGGCCGTGGCATGGCATGCGGGCCGAGGTCATGGCACGACATTCCGGCGTTGGCATGCTGGGCAACACTGTGGCATGGCATGCGGGACGAGGCCGTGGCAGGGCATGTTGGCCAAGGCTATGGCATGGCACGCTGGGCAACGCCTTGGCATGGCATGCTAGGCAATGCCGTGGCAAGGCACGCAGGCCGAGGTCGTGGCATGCCATGCTGGCCGAGGCCGTGCCATGGCATGCGGGCCTTGGCCGTACCGTGGCATGGGGGCCGAGGCCGTGCCGTGGCATTCCGACATTGGCATGCTGGGCAACACCGTAGCAAGGCATGCGGGCCGAGGCCGTGGCATGGCATGCGGGCCGAGGTCGTGGCATGGCATTCCGGACATGGCATGCTGGGCAACGCTGTGGCATGTCGTGCTGGCCGAGGCCGTGGCATGGCATGTTGGCCAAGGCTAAGGCATGGCACGCTGGGCAACGCTGTGGCATGGCATGCTGGGCAACGCTGTGGCAAGGCATGCGGGTTGGGCCATGTCATGGCATGCGGGCCGAGGCCGTGGCATTGCATGTTGGCCGAGGCTATGGCATGGCACGCTGGGCAACGCAGTGGCGTGGCATGCTGGGCAACGTCGTGGCAAGACATGCCGGCCGAGGCCGGGGCATGGCATGCTGGTCGAGGCCGGGCCATGGCATGTGGGCCGAGACCGTTCCATGGCATTCTGACCTTGGCATGCTGGGCAATGCCGTAGCATGCCATGTGGGCCGAGGCCATGGCATGGCATTCCGGCCTTGGCATGCGAGGAAAAGCCGCGGCATGCGATACGGGCCGGGGCCGCGGCATGGCACGCGGGCCGGGGCCGTGGCATGGCAAGCGGTCCGGGACCGTTGGTTGGCATGAAGGCCGAGGCCGTGGCATGGCCTTCTGGCCTTGGTATGTTGGGCAACGCTGTACCATGCCGTGCGGGCCGAGGCCGTGGCATGGCATGTTGGCCAAGGCTAAGCATGGCACGCAGAGCAACGCTGTGGCATGGCACGCAGATACCGGCCAACGCCGTGGCAAGGCATGCGGGCCGGGGCTGCGGCATGGCATGCGGTCCGGGGCCGTCGCACGGCATGCGGGCCGAGGCCATGGCATGGCATTCCAGCCTTGGTACGTTGGGCAACGCTGTAGCATGCCATGCGGGCCGAGGCCGTGGCATGGCATGTTGGCCAAGGCTAAGGCATGGCACGTAGAGCAACGTCGTGGCATGGCATGCGGGCCGGGGCCGCACCGTGGCATGTGGGCCGAGGCCGTGGCATGGCACGCTAGGCAACGCAGTGGCGTGACATGTTGGGCAACGTCGTGGCAAGGCATGACGGCCGAGGTCGGGGCATGGCATGCTGGTCGAAGCCGTGCCGTGGCATGCGGCCGACACCGTTCCATGGCATTCCGACCTTGGCATGCTGGGCAACGCCGTAGCATGCCATGTGGGCCGAGGCCGTGGCATGGCATGCGGGCCGAGGCTGTGGCATGGCATTCCAGCCTTGGCATGCAGGGCAACGTCGCCTCATGGCATGAGGACCGGGGCCGCGGCATGGCATACGGGCCGGGGCCGTGGCATGGCAAGCGGTCCGGGGCCGTTGCATGGCATGCAGGCCGAGGCCGTGGCATGGCCTTCTGGCCTTGGTATGTTGGGCAACGCTGCAGCATGCCATGCGGGTCGAGGCCGTGGCATGGCGTGTTGGCCAAGGCAAAGGCATGGCACGCAAAGCAACGCTGTGGCATGGCACGTAGATGCCGGCGAACGCCGCGGCAAGGCATGCGGGCCGGGGCCGCGGCATGGCATGCAGTCCGGGGCCGTTGCACGGCATGCGGGCTGAGGCCATGGCATGGCATTCCGGCCTTGGTACGTTGGGCAACGCTGTAGCATGCCATGCGGGCCGAGGCTATGGCATGGCATGTTGGCCAAGGCTAAGGCATGGCACGCTGGGCAACGCTGTGGCATGGCATGCTGGGCAACGCCGTGGCAAGGCATGCGGGCCAGGGCCGTGGCATGGCATGCCAGCCGAGGCCGTGGCGTGGCATGTTGGCCGAGGCTATGGCATGGCACGTTGGGCAACGTAGTGGCGCGGCATGCTGGGCAACGCCGTGGTAAGGCATGCCAGCCAAGGCCGGGGCATGGCATCCTGGTCGAGCCCTTGCCGTGGCATGCGGGCCGAGACCGTTCCATGGCATTCCAACCTTG